GGTGCGCTCGGGGCCCGGTCCCGGGGCTGCGGCCGCGCGAGGTAACTCACGGGAGGTGTTTGGTGATCGGTTCGGCGCGGCCGTGAAGTCGGAGCAGCGCCTTCAGCCGCGCGGTGCGGAGGCAGCGCAGGGGCTCTGCTGCTGTATTCGGGTCGGTCGGCGACATTCCTGCTCCCAGAGGCTTGATGATCGCGCCCCCTCCGGCCTTCAGAGCCCGCACAGGTCCCCAGGTTTTAGTCCTGCTCCCCTCTGTTAACTACGGCCTTCCCTGTCCCCCCTCAGGGCACGTTCCCTTCGTCGTAGGACCTCCCTGTGTAGGAAGCGTGCAGTAGTGATTATGCGCAGTGACAGTACAGGGAACATGAGTGCTGACGACGAGCGCGCTTTGTCCCGAGTGCTTCCAGCGTTTCCTTGAACCGCCGCGCCCCGAGGAGCTGCCGCGTAGGGCAGACTGTCTCACCGCGGCGGGAAGGTGCGCGGCTGGTGCGCGCACGGGGAGGGCCTTAAGTGTGGGAGGCAATGGGGGGCTCTGGTTAAGCTGGAGTGAGTCAGGCACCGAGGGGCGGAAAGGCATCCCCAACACTGTAGGAGCTGGTGCCGCGGCCACGGGGGAGAGAGAACTGTCTTGTCGGGGAAACTGCAGTACGAAGGCAGTTGTAGTGGTAGGTGAACAGAGTGCATTCTGTTGTGTGGGTGTAACATAATTTATTTATCCACTAGTACGCCCCGCTCGCTATAGACAATGCTGGCATAGATTATCCTTATGCCTAATGCTTTTTTTTTTTTTTTAATATATCTTTATTGATTTCAGAGAGAGGAAAGGAGAGGGAGAGAGAGAGAGAGAAACATCAATGATGAGAGAGTCATTGATCGGCTGCAGCCCGCAACCGGGGCATGTGCCCTGACCAGGAATCAAACCCTGATTGCCTGGATCCTAGGTGGATGCTCAACCGCTGAGCCGGCAGGCATGCCTAATGCTTTGAGTATCTCTGATAATTCCTTAGGGTGAATTCCTGGAAGTAGAATTTCTGGGTTAAACAAATGCTTTTGGTAGCCATGCACATCCTTGGTGATGGCTCTTCTTGTTCAGTGTTCTGTGAAATAGCTGCGGAGTGCTTGCTGCTGCCCTTTGCAGAAGCGTGGCCTGTGTACCGAATGATGTTGTCTTCATGGCTTCCCCTGGCCAGTCCTGGCGGAAATAATAATGAGGAAAAGTTAGGAAACCTGGTTTTAGCCTCTTGATTTATATCGTTTAAAAATTCCACCATGTTACAAGGAAGTAGGATAGTAAAAATAAATTGAATTGTAAGTTTGTCCTTTCAATTGCCAGGACTTCATTCATTCAGACATATTTGTTAGTAGTTGTAATGTGTCTGGCATAGTCGTTGATGCTGCTTATAGAGTGACGAAGAAAACAAGCTGCCATCGTGCCCCTTATGGGTCAGTGGGGTAGGAAAAAAAGCAACCCGCTTGATATATGTATGTGAATAATTATGTTTCCTTTGATTTTGAAACTACTGTCTAAATCCCATTTAAAGACTATATTATCATATCTAACCTATAGTATTATCAAAATTGATGTAACGTATGTTCAAGTTTACACCATTCAATTTAAATTTAAATTCTTTTCAAAAGCCCTTTGGGATGGAAAATAAAATCTTACCAGCTGGTGAATTTGTTTTTTAAACCTACTTACAGGCTTATTCTCTTATATTTTAAAAGATATGATGGTTGTAGTAGTGAGCTATTTTTATATTTGGAGGTGATTCTAATCAGATTTATGGATGATTTTTGTTTTTGGTATTTTTCAGGTTGGTTTTGCTGAATATGAGACGATCTGCAGCACCAAGTCAGTTGCAGGGGAAACCCTTCAAAAAACCAAAGTTTATACCACCAGCAAGAAGTAATCCAAGTCCAAATGAAGAGATTACAAAGCTGGACCCAGATACAGAATTATCTGAGGTAAAAAAAAAAAAATTAAAGGAAGCATAATATAGAGAAGCATGTATCTATAGAAAGTGCCATCTAAAGAGTTAAAAGTACTTACTGCCTATAGGAATTTTCAGCATTTCTGACAAAGTCTTCCCAAAACCTTAGAAATAATTATGAAAAATTTTTAAAAAGGAATGACATGCAGTTGGGTCCATAAAATAAAATTTTGGTAACAGTAAAAAATGTCTCTGTGAGGAAAGGGGTGGAGATTCTTGTAAAAAAATTATTCTGATGAGTGTTCTTTTTTTATTTGTTTTTTAATTCTCACCTGAGGATATTTTTTCCATTGATTTTTAGAGAGTAGAAGGGAGGGGGGGCGGTGAGAAAGAGAGAGAGAGAAACATCAATGTGAGAGAAACACATTGATTGGTTGCCTCCTGCACACACCCCGACTGGGGCCAGGGATTGAACCCACAACTCAGGTAGTCGCCCTTGACCAGAAATCAAACCCATGACCCTTCAGTGGACCCATGGGCTGACTCTCTAACCACTGAGTCACACTGGCCAGGGTGATTTGTGTTCTTTTCAAAGATACCATATCAATAAATGAAAACTTTAGATAAGGCAGTTTAAAGAGAAACATGTAAATAATGATTTAGGTCACTATTCTGGACATTTCATTTTACTTATAAAAAGTAAATGCTTGCCTGTCTGGTGTGGCTCAGTGGTTGAGAGTGGGTCACCAGTTTGATTCCCAGCAGGGCATATGGCCGGGTTGTGGGCTGGATCCCCAGTAGGGGCGTGCAGAAGGCAGCCGATCAGTGTTTCTCTCTCATCGATGTTTCTCTCTATCCCTCTCCCTCCCTTTCTCTAAAAAAAATCAATAAACACACATTTTTAAAAGTTGAATTTTAAATTTATTTCTAAATATCTATTCCGTATTTATATGTAGAGATACTAAACTGGTAGCTCATGTTTTAGATTAGTCATCTATTATGTAAATATATGGAACATTAGATTGACTTTCTGCATAAAATATATATATTTTGTTCTTTTAGGTTGCTGCAAATAATACTTTTCTCCAATCACAAACTGATCCCAGAATATACAGTTTAAATCTTCTGCCTGCTGAAGAAAGTGGTAGAGAAATGAATCATGGGGATAATTACAGGGGAAAAGACTGTTTTGAAACATCTGCAATGCCAACATTAAACCTACATCTTACAGGTAAGACTGTACTTTTTATTAATCAGGTTTACACTTGACCAGTTTTATTATAGCGTTATTTAAATTGATTACTTATAAGGATGAATATGTTACATTTGAAAGTTTTTGATGTAATACCAACTAGATTGTTGGCAATTCAGATTTTTTGTTATAATTGATTTTTAATGATTGGGTTAATAACCATGTAATTAAGATTTTATACTTTATATTAGGTGTATGTCTACTACTGTTCATTATAAATGTATTGGTCAAATATGGTCTTGGCCTCAAGTACCAAGATACGTTTAAAGATTTGAAAAATAAAATCCCTAAGAAACATGTTAACATTACTAAAATCGGAGAGGCGAACTTGAAATAAGTAAAATTGTTCATTCATTATAGTCCATGGAGTAACTTCAGATCAGTTAGATGGGAATTATGAAGGTATATAATTGCAGGAAAACCAAGCATTTAACAAATGTTCCCTGCCCCCACTGTTCAATTGAGTTAAAATAATGGCTATGGTTCTTTTTGTATCTATAATAGATCAGTATTTTTCAGGTAATTAAAAAAATAATTAGGATTGTTCACAGATGTTTATTTGGCCTTGTGAAAGCCAACATCAAAACTACATTTTTCCAAATTGCATTTTATTAATTTTTGGTTGAATAAGTATATTCAGGGAGTGAGCCCCAGCTGCTGGTCTGTAGAATTGTAAGTGCCATCCTAAAGATACCAGCATAAATCAGCAAAAAGTGCCTTAATTGCTTAACCCTTTTGAAGGAAGTTCTTGAGCTTGGTGACGACTAATTAATTTTACCTAAAAATGGGTTCCTTTCTTGTTGGGGCAGAAAGGAATTCTTTATTTTCCCAGCTGGCCAGGATCCTTGGTACCATTTATGCTCCTCATAACTTAAAAGTTGGGAAGGACTTTTGGAGCTGGTACCAATTCAGGGAGATTGGTAGAAACAGCTCTGGGCCTGGCAGTTTAGCTGCTCCCACGTTTCACTGATTTGCTCTCCTTATTTCTTTCTACCTTACTTTCCTCCCTCTTTTCTTCCATCTTCGTTAGTTGAATATCCTATTTTCCCATGTATGCCTGTTTTATTTTTGTGGGTTTTTTTCTATCATGGTAACTAATCTCTTCAGAGAATGATATTTAGACTCTACAGTATATTACATTTCTTGTTACTGATTTGGGGCTTCATTTGTGTTCTACTATGGTTTCTTATTCTCTTCCCTGCTAAATAGAGGAGAGAGTTAAGAGTTAAGGTAAGTTGGAGAGGGAGTTAATTTACTCTAACCCTTAATCCCATAATCCTTCTCTGATTTAATACATTCACTGGACTGGGGAACCTGGGCCAACCTCCTGATACCCTCCTGCCTGTCATTCAGAGAGAGAGGTTAACTGGGGAAAAGAGCATTGTATTTTTATTTTTTAGAGAGAGGGGAAGGAGAGGGAGATAGAGAGAGAGAGAAACATTGACGTGAGAGTGGAATATCAATCAGCTGCCTTGAGCCCACAACCTGGGCATGGGCCCTGACTTGGAATCGAACTGGCAACCTTTCAGCATGTGGGACGATGTTCCAACCAACAGAGCTACTGGGCCAGGGGCCTGCTCCTTCCTTGTCTCTTGTTACAGCCTTTGTTTTAAAGTCGATTTGTCTGGGACCCTAGCTTTTATTTTTGTTTCTATTTTCATGCAATATCTTTTTCCATCTCTTTACTCTCAGTCTGTGTGTCTTTTGATCTGAAGTCTCTTATAGACAGCGTGTGGAGGGGTCCTGTTTTGTTACCCATTCAGCTACCCTGTGTCTTTTGATTGAAGCATGTAATACATTTGCATTTAAAGTAATTGTTGATAGATGTATATTTATGGTCATTTTATTCCTATTTTTTATCTTTTCTCCCTTCAAGAAGTTACAATGCTGGTTTGGTGGTGATGAACTCCTTTAGCTTTTTCTTGTCTGGGAAGCTCTTTATTTGTTCTTTCGATTCTAAATGATAGCTTTTCTGGGTGGAGTAATCTTGGCGGGCCGGGGAACCTGCAACCCAGGTACGTGCCCTTGACTGGGAATAGAACCCGTGACTCTTTGGTGCTCAGAGCAACCAACACTGTAACCACACCGGCCAGAGCCCTGTAACATTATTTCAGTTATTGTATTCTTCATTTCTGATTGGTTGTTTTTTATGTTTTCTATGTCTATTTTTATGCTTCCCATATTTTTAAGTTCTTACTACGTCCATTTACTCTTCCCCTGAGTTCATGTGGGGTCCTTATAACCAGGGCGTTAAACTGCATCTGGTACATTGCTTGTCTCTGTTTTGTTTAGTTCTTTCTCTGGAGTTTTGTTCTGTTTTTTCATTTGGGACATGTTTCTTTGTCTTCTTATTTTGGCTGCCTCCCTGTGTTTGTTTTGACGTGGAGTTGCTTTGTCTCCCGATCTTGGTAGAGTGGCTTTATGTAGTAGGTGTCCAGTAGGGCCCAGTGGTGCAGCCTCCTCCGTCATTATAGCTGGATGCTCCAGGTGCTTTCCCCGTGTGGGCTGTGTGCACCTTCCTGTTTAGTTAAGCCTTGATTGCTGTTGTCACGTCAGTGAGGGGATTTTCTCCCTGGTTATTCCCTGTGGACGACTGGCAGTGACCATAGCAGAGGATCAGCTGTGCAGGGGCTGACCTCATGGTTCAGGATTCACTTCATCTGGGCTTTGGTCTGCCCCTTGAATGTGTTGCTCGTGGAGGTGGTTGGGTGGTGCTCCAGTGTGGTCTGAAGCCGTCCACCAGATGGGCTGGCAGTAGGGCCTCTTGGGCATTGCAGGCCAAGGTCAGTCGCTGCCTGTGCCCTGCCTGCAGCCCCTGGGCATGAGCTACAAGTCGATGGCTGCTACTTGTGCTGGGCTTGGAGGTGCCTGGGAGAGACCAAGCTATGAACCAAGGCCGACTGCTACTAGTTGTGTGCCTGGGGCCACTTAGCAAGAGGTATAGGGCATTCTGAGGCCAGTTGCTGCTTGTTTCGTATTTGTGAGCCTTTGAGAGATTTTAGTAAAGTGTATACCATGAACCAAGACAGGCCATTTGTAATTTTGAAATGGTTTCCGGAGAATGTGAGTACTTCATTCATCTATGCCACCATCTCGGCCAGAAGGAACACTGTGGTTCTCAGGTGTAGATACATGCCCTCCATTTGCCTTCCCTCACTGCTGTTGATGTGTGTCCAGAGAGTCAGACTTGATTCTTGGCTAGATGTGTGTAATATCTGGACAGGGTCTTGGTCAGTCTGTACTTCAGGATTATTCTTCCTTAAAGTAATAGCTAAGGAACAATGTTCACAGTTTACCAGGATAAGGGAAGTGATCTCCTGGCCGTCCTGCTCTCTGCAGGAGTTGCTGCCATTGCTGTTCCCGCCAGCCAGACTCTCTGAACGTTCACATAAAACTTGCCTTTCCAACAGTTTAACTAATAGCCTACTATTGACCGGAAGCCTAACCGATAAAACAGTTGATTCACACGTATTTTGTACGTTATATGCTGTATCTAATAATAAGGCAAGCTAGAGAAAAGAAAATGTTAAGAAAATGATAAGGAAAATACATTTACAGTACTGTTTGTATTTATTGAAAACTGCTGCATGTAAGTTGAACCACACAATTCAAACTTGTGTTGTTCCAGGGTCAACTGTAATTTTGTTGTACTTGTTTTTCATCGTATGTTTTGGAGCTTGTTGTATGTCAATACATAGAAGTCTGATTCTCTTATTTTAACACTGCCTAGTGTAGACCATAGTATTATAAAAAATGATATAAAGGGAGCCATTTCAAAATGGAGTTGCAGCTGTAATCCCACAGGTACTGCCTTGCCTGTCTGATCCTCAAACCTTTGGAATGTTAAAACTGGGCAAAATAATACTTGGTCTGAGCCTAAAGCAACATTGTGTTCCCAAGAACTATTTGCAGAGATAATAAGAAAGCAGTTATTATGACCACTGTACCAAAAATTAAAGACATTTTTAAGAATCAGCATCACTGTATTAGCTTATCTGCACCTACAGAATTTCCCTCCTTGGCTTATTAGCACCATTGATTCTATTCCTGTAATTATTCCCCTTTTCTGTCTCATCAGTACCCCATGCCTTCCCCTCCTTATCGGAAGACTTTGGGTTTCTGCCTGAATCACTGCTTCCTGAATAGCTATTGTTTTAGTTCTCAAATAAATGCTTGTTACCTATCACTCTGGTTATTTATTTTTAGGTTAACAATTTTGGAAGGTTTTACATGTGTAAAATATTAATGGATACTCCGAGATCGATGTCCAGAGTACTGTTTTAGATGCCCATCGACAGTACAGAAAAGTGCTCTTGGCCTGCCCCTTAGCCACTCTTGTCATTTTCAGCCTCTAAGAATTTTGCCAATCTTGTGGATGAAAATCATTTTTAGTATACATTTTCTTTTAATTTAGTAAGATTGAATGTTTTTAAAATATTTTTATTAGTATTTTGTTTCTTAACACAATATCTGTATTTCTTCCAAAAATAGTGAAATATTATTTAAAGACAGTTTATATCTTGTGTTCTCATTTTCCTTTGCATACCTGTGGTCAGGTTGCTGGGGCTGGTCAATTTTTCAGTTCTCATCTCTGTGGATGGTAATCGGGTGCATTACTACTTGCTACAATTTATTGAGCAATAAAACTGTCCAAAGGCAGCGAAAGGCTAGAACTACTGACAAATCAGATTCTCAGTAGGGTGCGGCAGACAACACCTAGTGTTCCATAGAACACCTGGCAGTCTTTCACTTTTTTCCTGACGGACACATTTAAAGCTTCTTGCACATTGTGTGGCTCAGAGTGAGGGCTTAAAACATTCAATTTGCTGCTCTTCCATTAAAAGAATGAAAAACAAGGAGTTGAAAATTTATGGCAGTTCTGCATACCTACACTTTCCTGGATGGGGCTGTATCAGCTAGATGCACCTTTGTTTTCCTTGGGCCTGGCACAGCACTTGGGAGCAGTTATAATGGGTGTTCAGTAATTGTTCACTTGAGTGGAACTGTGTTCAGATATGTTCTAATTCATTCTTCTATCTGGATAAATATATGTGTTTATATATATTTAAGGAGAAATTAGGCTTATTTTGCTTACATTGTTATTTATCATATTTTCAGACAGGGATTAGAAAATATATTCTAAGCATGCAAACTGGTAGCCTTGCAAATGGCTAGACTGGCTGTTTCCTTTCATAGCCGAGATTGTGTGAGTATGGCTAAATAAAAATCCCACCCTTAATAACAGCAAATGTGATTTTGTTGTGTGCAGCCTTAAGGCGAGATTATGCAGTTCTCCCCATGGATGGAGATTTTACACACGATAGAGCAGGCTGGCACGTTCACGTAGGTTACAACTGGAATGATTTCCTTGCTTTAAAAACATATTTTTTATCTGCTTCGTAGATTCATTGTTTGACAAAAATTTCTTCTTAAGTAACTGGAAAAAACAACAACGTAGTGGATACTGTAGATTGTGAAATGAAGGGGAAGCTTAGCTTTACTGTGGAGTCTGAGTCTGGGTGTAACCTAACTAGCTAGAGGATATGCAATTCCTGATTGACAGCAGGACCAGCATTATGCAGATTTTGTAAGAGAGAGGAGCAGCTCAGAAACAGTGATTAGGGCCCTGCTCAGTTAGGAGTCACTACACCACCACTCCTATCTTTAGTTAGTCATTTTCCTGTCTACTGGATTTGTAAACAAATAGGACTAAACAGTTCCTCTTTTGTTATTAAAGTCATACTGCAGTGCAGATTCAGCCTATCAGCTGGGCATACACGTGTGGAAATCTGATCTCACCAAATTAGCTGATTTTTAGCTGGGTTCCACGCTTATCTCTAGACCTTTGTGTATTAAATTCCATCTCGAGCTGTTCTCTTTATACACAAGTGTGTTTTGCTTGTGCCTTCCTGTCTGTTTCAGTGAGAAGCTTTATGTAGGTCAGGCTTGGCTTAAGCAGATTTCCTGAACCTGCGTCAGCTTAAGCTGGAGGAATTTTAATAAACCCTCCCCTGTAGGCGTGGGCCTAAATGAGGCTAGCCTAGTTAAGCCTGATCTTTTTCCGCTGGTGAAAAGAGCTGAGCAGAGCTGAGGGCTGCATGGTGGTTTCAGACACTGCCTCCTTAATTTGAAAAGAACAATGGTAGGAAAGGCTAGATCTTCCAATTTTACCTTATCTGAAAAGCTTGATTTGCTAAAGCTTGTGAAGCCATATGTGAAAATTCTCGAGGAACACACTAACAAGCATTCAGTGATAGTGGAAAAGAATAGATGTTGGGATATCATAGCAGTTAACTATAATGCAACTGGAGTAGACCGCCCTCCTCGAACAGCGCAGGGCCTGCGCACCCTTTACAAAAGGCTCAAAGAATACGCCAAACAGGAGCTGTTGCAGCAGAAAGATACCCAGTCAGATTTTAAAGGCAGTATTTCTGAGCCAACCAAGAAAGTTATGGAGATGATTCCCCAGATTTCCAGTTTTTGCCTGGTCAGAGACAGGAACCACACACAAAGGTAAGCTTTATTTTATTTCATTGTGGAAAATTATGGCGCCTCCTATCTGCTGGGCTCTGGCTTTGGCTGTGGTAGAGAGATGCATATTAAGCATCCCCACACGGAGCAGCGAATGGCGCCTTTGTTTTGCATTCTAAAAAAACCAAAGTGAGGCTATAAGGAATTTGCTGCTGCATTTTATTTAAACCACTTTTTATTGTCTTCCCTTCCCCCTACCCTGCCTCTGTAGTTTCTAAAAAGTAAAGGTTAGGGAAGAGTAAATGGGATGGGATGAAATCTGTGGCATCAGCTCATAAACTTTTTAAGCTTTAAAATTAAATTATTTAATTAGCTGAGAGAGAGGCCTTTTAAGATTTCATTTAAGATTACATTTCATTGCAGTTCTCAGGTTCATAAAAAGTTAGTTGCAGGAGAAGTGGAACCCTTGCTTTTATATGAAATTGTCACGGTCTCCACTTTTTGAATATTCTTTGAGCTAAAAAACTAAAATCAGTAATTAAGTAAATTTATTAATGGTGTTATTGCATATATTAAGACAGTTTAAATTATTTTTCTAACTTATACTTAAAATTAAAAAACACAAGAAAAGGAATTAATGCCTAATTAGGAATTCAGATTACTTAATAAAATTCCAAGTTTTTGTGTTTTTATTAATTAGTGTTATAGTTTCACTTTGATCTTGGGTCACATAGGAAAGGGCAGGTTTTCACAAATTGCTTTGCAAGGATATCAAACTATGAATTTTAATATACCAGTAAGAGCAACTGGTTTCATAAAGTGTTGGAAACATTTTTGTTGTTGTTAAATTTATGCTCTCCATAACTACTTGCTTGGGAATCTTAGAAACTATTATCTTACTACTGATTCAAATTTTAACCCCTGGCAAAAGATAAAATGGCAGGCACATTCTTCTGAGCCATTTAGGGTAATTTAAACAAGCTGTAAACTTCTTGTTAGTTGAGGGACCTCAAACAAAGCTTTACAATGCGCTTTTCTATTAGTGGAAGAGTCCTCATATGAGCAAAACTATTGATCACCTGTGAAATCTTTTTGAAGTTAGGAGAGAAACACGGCAGGGGGGGTGGGGGACGACTTTTTAGCCAAACATATTTGTTATTTTGATAATTTACTGAGCCCAGCTTCTTACCATATACTGCTTATTTCTAGTTGACGGCATAGTAAACAGTTGTATTAAATCATGGGGCCACTGTCTAAAATGTTCACTGTGATGACAAATGATTAAATCCTGATATGCTGGATGTCCAAAAACCTCCACAGTAAGACTGATTTATGCTGTGTTACTTATTAAATTTTTTTCCTCCTCAAACTATAGAGGAAAGTGGCTTTTGCATTATAGGTATAAACCCATCCTTTGGGTATTAAGTATAGGCTTTTATAATTTGAAAACTACACATAGAAACTGTAGTTTTAGTTAGTTGCATATTTAAAAAATACAGTGGGTATAGAAGAGAAATAAGTTATAAGTATCTGTTAAATTTTAACCATTTGTGTCATATTTTAAAGTGAAGAATATTAGAAATAAGCCATTTAAATGCTTGCTTATGTTAGTGTCTACACTGCCATTTTTTCTTTATTGGTGTTTTCATGTAATATATTGATATACTTAATGTGCTTATACTTATTTGACACCATGAATCTCAATAATTGTCTCAGTTTATAATTCTATAATTTTAATCATGCTTCTGTATAAACATGCCTGTTAATCTCACCAAACTCTCCATTCTTAATAAGGAAAATCTTACTGTTTATATTATCTAAGGTATTTAAAACTATACGCCTCTTTGGTTTAGGCTATCTCTATAACACATTGATTTATGTCTTTATTTTTACTTCTCTCTAGTATCAAATTATATTTTGTGTTTTTGTAACCCATTTGATCCTTAAAATTCATAGTTATAAATTTTAGAAGTCTTTCTGTTTATCACTTTTTGACTTTCGCTAAAGCATTTTTTATATAATGACCTTGTAATGTTTCAACTAAAATGGAATGGAATATTCCAGATATAAGGCATATTGTTAATTTACATGAGAATATAATGTCTATGTCTAATTGTGAGTATTATACATACTAATATGGAATAGTCACAGTGTAAATTTAAAAAATTTAATTTTCATCTGTAGTATTAATATTTTTACATTCTAGGCCTTAGAGATGTTAATAAAAGTAAATCTTACTAATTTGAATTACATTTATATTCTGTTGCTTTGCTTTTCAAAATCATGGGATGACAAAATAGTTAAGAGTGAAAATGAATGAATTTACGTAATCTACAAATTGGTTTTTCATCACATACTATATACCTTATTATTTCATTTGTATCTCTAGACAAATATCTGATATTTTTGGCAATTTAATGCCATTAGTAAGTGACATATGGGGATTTTAAATTTTTTCCTATGTTCTACTTCAGCTTGTTTCAGCATATTAATCATGTCCATGTAGAATATATCTTAACTGTGTTACTTATCATTTGTAAAATGTTATCTAAATAATGTTAATATAGCACTTTCCCATTAATATTCCAATAATCTCTTTCCCTTTTCTAACTTTTATTTTTAAGTAAGAAACAAGATTATATATTCCTGATTAACAGTTTCATGTTATACATGAAACTCTTCTAAAAAACAGTAGAATTTTAAGGTACATTGTATTTACATCATAAAAAATATTGATAAGTTATGCTAAAACTGTAGGTGCCTGTACAGTTTTATGGAAATTACATGTAAACTTAATAAACTTTCAATATATTATTGTATATAGGCTACTTAAAAACATTGCATTAAAAAAAATTTCATTTACATTTAATCATTCCGCATTTGATGAGCACTTGCTAGGTTTCAAGTATAATCTTAGACTAGGTCTGGGGATAGAGCAGTCGATATAAACCCTTGGCCTGTTAACTTTACCTAACCAATGGTTGAAAGACTGAGAGAACAACTGGTATAGGACAGGTAAGACTAAACATTGGGTAGTCAGGATAACCATGATAGTCAGACAGCTGAAAGCCATCCAGAATCTTGAGGGCTTTTTTTGACAAACGTAGAAAACATTGCTTCTCGTAGATGGCCTTCCATTGTTCCCCTAGAAGCCTGGGACCTGGGTGACTTTTAGGTCCGTCTAGGAGAGCAGAAGCGGATCAGGGCTGAGGTGAGGAGTAGCAGGGCCCAGAAGGCAGTGAATGAACTTTAGTGCCATCCAGACGGCCAGGCTTACAGGGACAATTGGTGTCTCTTGAGACCACTGGAAACGGCTTTTCTTTCTTTACCTACTTGTCCTTGCGTAGTGTTTGTGATTTCCTGCCCTATCGAGAGCCCGATTTTAGGTTGGGAAAGAGCTGTGTGTCCATTATTAAAATCCTAAGTTTAGTCACTTTAATTTGCTATTCTGAGGGTTAACCTTTTTTTGTGTCATCATTTTCTTTACAGCTTTAAAGCTTGACAGTTTAGTGTGTGTTAGACGTGCAGCTGGTGTGCGTGTGCTCTGGCCTTCGTTCGATTGAACTTGACAATGCCTTTTTGTGTGCTGTAGCGCCGGCTGGGGCGAGGAAGCGGAGGCTGGCACCAGCTCCCTGCAGGTAATGTTGGACCGCCACCCGGTTGCTAATACCGTGGAGGTGAAGCAAGAAGACGAGGTGAAGCAAGAAGACGACGTGAAGCCGCCACCTCCACTAGTTTTAAGTTCTGAACAGAGTTATGCTCTTGAGCAAAGAGAAGAACACGTGCTAGGCCATGCTTTGGAAAGTTCCGTGTCGCCGTCCCTGTCCTCTGTTGATATGAGTATGACTTTGTCTCCATCTTCCCTCCCGAGGAGAGAGGATTTTTTTCACCATGAGAGTGGGGGACACTTTAGGTCACAGTTAGGATGTGATCCTCAGATTCTGCAAATGCTGAAAGAGGAGCATCAGATAATTTTAGAAAATCAAAAAAATTTTGGATTATATGTTCAGGAGAAGAGGGATGGATTGAAAAGAAGGCAGCAGCTAGAAGAGGAGCTGCTACAAGCAAAAATTGAAGTGGAGAAGCTGAAAGCAGTTCGCTTACGGCACGATCTGCCTGAATATAATAGTTTCTAAGTTTTTTTTCAGTCTCAGAATATGATAATATTAATTTTGGCCAAATTACTTTTGTTTGGGAATGTCCTAAAGCAGAATATGTATTCTTATAAAATGTCGTTAATTTCTATTATGAAAAAAACCTTTTTGGCATTTTCTAACTATTTTCTTTTGAGATATGTTATAATGTATTGATTGGGTGGCATGGTTATATTTTTTTGATTTCCCTGAATTTTTTCCTAAGAAGTTTAATTGTTGGCCTTACAGAAGATGTTATATTTTGATCATTAAAATATAACATACATAAATATATACACAAACACATACACATTTTTTCAAAGTTCTGAGTCTTCAGCATTTTAAATTAGAGTTTGGAAAGCTGTAGTTCAAGGTTTTTAATTCAGTCTAATTTAGAAGCAGTACTAGCCTACTGACAGGAGCTTGTCTTTATGACATTGATTTTTATGCTTTCATTTTTTGAAGGCATAAGTCCTATGATTTTAGTGATAGAAGCTATTTGGAGATCACTTTTTCCCATCTCTTCAATTTAGAAGCTAATAAAAGGGGTCCAGGAGAACTCGGTGACTTACTTGATATAACAGAGCTGTTTATGGCAGAGCAAGAACCAGCACTGAGTTTTTGTTTGTAACCTTTCCTCCTGCTATTCCATAGAAGTAAAGGTCCATTGCATACCCTCGATATTAAACAATTGGAAGTGTTTATTTCATTAAAATTGTTTTTAAAGATCAGGAGGTTATAAAATCGGGGATTGTGTGAATTATCCCATCTTCCCGTGTTTCTTTTTGGCCAGCAAAATAAGATTTTCTCTTGGAGCTGTTATATATCTTGGCTGTAAGATTTAATGTCTTAATTCATTTTTAATGTCTTATTCTGAAAAAGATTTCACAGTAAAAATTTTAATGAACAAAATTAAAATTTTACATAGATTAAAAATAGCAAAAAGTATGTTAATAGTTTATGATGTAATCTGTAATGTGTTTTTTTTAAAAAAAATTGCTATTTTAGTATTTGTGGGAATAAAACCTTCATTCTTAAAGCATACATATTAAATTTAAGTTAAATCTTTGATATGTATATTAAGGATTTCTATTTTTGCTGGGGCTGTGTTGAGGAAGGATTTTTAAGCCAAGCTTTAGAATTGGGTAGGTAGAATTTTAGCAGTGTAGTGGAGAAAGGATGTTTAAGTCAAAGTGAGCAACATGAAAAAGGCCTAGAGAATGAGGGAAAGTGGATCATGGTGTAGAAGCACAAGTACAGTGCTAAACCAGATGATTTTACATGAATATACTGTAGAGGGCCGATGAGGACAGTGGTAATCTGAACTAGTACATCTTCCTTGACTAAATGGGGTAGCAGCTGTTTAGCTCCAGGATAAATTTTACATGCAGGAATAAGCCAGAGATCTACATTTTATGTGAAAATTTCCCAATTTTAAAATGTTTGCAAATCAAAATGTTTAAAACACTACACAGACAAAACGTGTGAGTGGGCCTCATTCAGCCAGTGGGCTTCCTTTGTGGCCTTTGGAGTAGATCCTGACCAAGAGTAGATCCTGACCAGCAATATCAGCATCACTTGAGAATTTGTGAGGAATGTAAATTCATGCCTTTTGAATCTGAAGCTCTGGAGGTGGAGTCCAGCAATCTTTTAACACACCCTCTAAAGTTTGAGAACCATTGAAATAGAGTAGTTTGGAAGCCAGCTTGGTGCCTAAATCATACTAGATTCTCAAAAAATTTGTTGAAAAAAGTAAAGGTGAATGAAGGGATATCAATTTGGAAGTTGGTTGGTGCCAGATTATAGACTGCATTAAAAACTTCTTTTTGCCCTAGCCAGGTAGCTCAGTTGGTTTGAGTGTCCTCTGGATAAGCCAGGGTTGTGGGTTCAATCCTTGGTCAGGGCACATACAAGAATCAACCAATGATGCATCAATAAGTGGAATAGTAAATCTGTTTCTCTGTTTCTCCCCTCCCTCTTCCTCCCTCTCTCTCAAATCAGTCAATAAATAAAAAACTTTTTAAGGAATCAAACTCAAATGTACAATGGGAAGCCATTGAAGACTTTCGATTAGGGGGATGTAAATTAGAGCTCCAAGTTAGTGTTATAATAGCATCTTTTAGGGACGGGCATTGTGGTGAGAGTAAGGAAGTCTGAAATTTAGGTTATGACTATAGAAATAATAAAAATAAAATGGACTGTTAGTTTATTTCAGCTTGTTGATTGCTTAATTTCATCGACATTTTATATCTGCTATTATTTTATAAAAATGCCTTGAATATGTAATATGATCTATCCTTTTGACAATTTCATCATCTTTAATCTGTACTATGTCTTCTTTGAGTCTAATGAATTTTATAATTCTAATTTGAGGAAATGTTTTTAAAATATAATTCTAGTAAATGTATTCTTACAATAGTCAGCTTTAACTTTTTGAGATTATTGAAAGCAAATTACTATATATAAAGTAATTCATACTACAATCTCAGCATGTTACTACTCAGAATTGATGATGAATGTTTAACTTGAATATTGACTCTGTGCAGCTAAATCAGTGTTTTCCAAAATGTGTTCTGTGAGATTAATTCTGTGAGATGTTTCTAGGAAAGAGTTTTGTGTTCAAAAAAGTGTAACATACATCTTTTTTTGGTAATTAGGTTCTAAAATTAGTGTTGAAGGTAAACATGTATATACAAAATAGCCCTTGAAAATTCTTTTGCTGTCCATAAAATAGTTGTAAACATAGTCTGCTGTAGTCAGATTTTCCTCCAGTATTGTTCAAGATTGTTGTTTTTTTGGTTGTATCTGGTGGCAAATTCATTAGCACTTAGGGTCTGAGTAGAATAAAAAAACCTTATTTTTACATATTTTTAAACACCAGAATTTCACTCATTGCAGTGAGTTTGCAGTAGCAGTTTTTTCCAGTCTGTCTTGTGTAATTTTAATTTGCAAAAAATTTTAAACTTATGATTCTGCTTCATTGTATAACCACTTCTACATACATGCAACTGTAACTAGCATAGTGTAGTTTATGAAAATTCCAGTATAAAGAAAACTCATTTGATCATTGAGCTCTCTTCGGAGGTGTTTATTATCATTTTGTGGCCTATCTTAGGGAACTTTTGAGCTAAAGATTTTTTCTTTTTGGTATTGAGACTTTTGAGTTTTTTGACTACTTAGCAACTTATATTAGCAGGTTTTGCTAAGGACAGATTTTACTAAGGAGAATGTATAAGGGCAAATCCTGTACCAATGGAATACAACTGAAGCCACCGGACATTCTGCATACTGTAGAGGACTGTTGGGGGCTGTGAGCTTTACCTACGCAGTGCAGTGCTGGGAAAGCATAGGGAAAGAGTGGTTATATTTTTGAAATGTAGACTTGGTTCCCTAGAAATATGTTAAATTTGAAAATACCCTAAGTCAAAATATTATTTCATCCAATGTGTTATACTTTAAATAGTGGATAGGTTATCTTTGCTGCTTTCCTATATCTCTTCTTATGTGAACTTAAATGATACCTTTTATTTTTCAGGTTGGTTTTTATTTTTTATTTATTTATTTTTTATGGTTCCTATTTTCCCTTTACTTTCCAATGGGGGTACGTTGTTATTTTTACAACTTATGATTTTCTAAACTAGGTATGATTTGTAATGACGTCCTGAAAAAGACAATGAAGCTCTTCCTTTTCTAAAGATGCCAGCAGATTTCTTAAAATATTTAGATCAAGTGCTTCTGTGTATACTAATGAGACATCAACTTGGAGTTATTTCATTTTTGAAAGAGTCACTGTATCCTGTTGCATTTTTACTTATATAGAAATGTTTAAAGTATGAATTATTTTCCATGTGCCTTCTATTAGAGTAATGTCAAATCTTAAATAGACATGTTTAAATAATTTGGAGTGTGATAAAAATGTATTTAATATATATTGTCAATAATGGTGGCTGAATGTTTTGTTAATACATGTTCTTTTAAATACAGAGTAACACATAATACTGATTTGTGTACTGGTTTTGTGTGTCATAAGACAAAGCATTCAGTACTATCGAGGTAAAATCTTATGATGAAGCATAATTGAAATAAATTTATTTACATGATTGAGTTATAGTAGATACCAGATGTACCATGTCTAAATATCATATTTATTTTTCAAATATTAGGATCCACAAATTCTCAAAATCAATTAAATATTTGAGAACAAATTTGATTATAAATACTTAAAAATAATTAGATGAAATATAGTTGCTGTACTTAATACAAAAGATTAAAATCTTAAAATATGCACCCTGATCATTAACAGTTATGCTAACTCTTTGCATATGATTTTGATTTGTTTGATTAAATTAGTAGCTATGATTTGAATTTACATTATTTTTAGTTTTCAGTTGCTTTGTAAATAGTGGAAAGCAAAATAAGTAAATAAGATAAAAAATACTACCCAAGGCAGCTCAGACATTTTAAAGTGTATATATTATTAGACTTATACTTTGTTAGTACATCTTTCATATTTTAAAATTATGTGTGAATTCACTTGTTACAAAGATTAAGAAACTCTTCAAACATACCGAAAAAGTCAAAAGCAATTTACAGTAAACTTGTCTGTCACCTAAATTCTATAGTTAATTTTTTACTGTATTTCCTTTATCCATCTATTCATCCATCAGTCCATTTTTAAAAATACGTTTTTATTGATTTTATGGAGAAGAAGGGAGAGGGAGAGGGAAATATCGATCTGCTGCCTCCAGCAGATCCCCCTGCTGGGGCTTGAGCCCGAAACGCAGGCATGTGCCCTGACCAGGAATGGGACGGGCAACCTCTCAGTGCATGGGATGCTGCTCAACCAAAAGGCCACCAATTCATTTTTAAAGCAAAATTATTACTAGTTTTTTCTTTTGTGCTCAATTCCTCCATCCCCCCAATCCCTCAGCACCCCACCAATTACAGGCCAGTATCCCTGATGAACATAGATGCTAAAATCCTCAACAAAATATTAGCAAACC